GGTAGAAAATAGATGGGGGAGTACAGGAATAGTAGGGGAAATACAGAATCTAAAGAACTTGAGACATGTGGTCATAAACTAAAGGGGGGAATGGTGGAGGAGGGGGTGTGCAGGGTGGAGGTGAATGAAGGGGGGAATAGAACAACTGTAATGGCATAATCAATAAAATATGTTAAAAAAAAAGACCTTTCATTTAAATCTGAAAGCAGGGTTCTTTCTCCTACTTTCTCCTCCTTCCTAAAAAAGCAAAACAAAAAACACAAAACAAAATCCCCAGAGCTAGAACTAGTATGCACACAAGTTTATACTTGACAAAATGTGTTTAGGATGTGGGACATCAGAAAATCTTAAAATACCCTGTTCAATAAGGTTTTTTTCCAAAATGTGACCACATTATCCTGAGAAGGTAGTCTGTGAGTTAAAGGGGCAGAAGGCTGGAATCAATGCTTTGAATAAAGGAAACATTAGTATATTATTTGTCTATTATTTCAAGGCTTCCTTTTAATTTGTGCTCTATAGTCTGGCCTGGGGCCTGCATTCCTCTTAATCTTTTGGTACACTACCTAAGCATTATCTGAGAAAACAATATCCTGGATGTGCCTTCCCCCAGGAGCTGATCCTTCCTCACACTTCCCCTTTCTCCCCCTCCTAGTTTCCAACCACTCCTTCTGAGCATATGCTTCCATCAGCAGACAGAGTCCTAACCACTTCCTGATTGTTGAAAGTGGGTTCCATGCACTAAAAAGAGGTTTGGGCCAGTACTTGAAACTCAAGTCTTTAGATCTGTCCACAGTGGGAGAAAGTGGCTCACAGGAAAGCAGAAGGAGGAACAGTGAGGACTGTTCTTTGTCCCACTGACATAGCCCAGGTCAGCAGCAACCAGGCAACACAGCTCCAGAGAGAAATCAGTTCTTGTATATGTCACCTAACTAGGAAACTTAACTCCTGGACGTGCGCCCTAGGGAAGAATAAAGGAGAAACAGGGAAAGTGCATCTGCTCAGGGCCAGGCAGAGCCTAATACACAGGATGAAAGTGAACTACCTAATACAGACCCAGACCTCCAATGCCACCCCACCCCCACACCCTCTTCATGATTTCCTTTTGTTTCAGTTGTGGTAAAATACACATAACATAAAATTTAACCTCTTAAACATGTTTTTTATTTTAATGATATTTAACTGTACAGTTCTGCAGCACTAAGTACATTCACATTGTTGTGCAACATCACCACTCTCCAGCGACAGAACTTTTCATCTTCCCCAACCCACATGGTTTTTAAGCAGTTTCAGGGCATAGGAGGGGTACCCAGGCAGGACCTCTGTATCTTGTAACATCAAGTGAACCCCAAGGGCAAAGAAGAATTGGAAGAGTGTACAGAGACCCCCAAACCAGCAGGGAGCTACCAGGCATCTAGAGTAAGGGATGTTCTACCACTGGAGGGCAAAGGGAGAGAGGAAGGAAAGTGCTTTCCAAGTCATAAGCTAGCTAACCAGAGATTGCCTGTTGGCTAGACATCTATCTCCCTCTTTGTTCTCCCTAGAGCCCCTCTGGCCATTCTCTGAACTTGTCCTGATACAGATGTACTTCAAGGATTTAAGTAATTGTGCCCAGATATACTTTGAGGACTATCTGATTCTCCCCATGATTATTATGATAATTCTTTAAAACAATATTTCATTACTTTCTATTTTAGATTTCCAGGTTTACCACTATTTTCACTGACTTAATGAAATTTAAAACCAGTTGAGTACATTTGAAATAAAAAATAATCATTGGGATGAAGATTTCATTGCATTTCTAGATCAGTGTATGTAGAATGGACATTTCTGATGTGTTGTCTTCCTTTCCAGAAACATCTTGTCTACCTATGTCAAGTCTTTCTTGATATCCCTCAATAGTAATAATAATGGCTAATATTTATTGCATACTTACTTGGTTCCAGGTATTGTTCTAAGAACTTTTTGTGCAATGATTGGCTTCATGCTAGGTCAACACTTTTGTGTGTGAGACATAGCAGTATTCTCTCTTTTACAGAGAGGAAATGATAGCATAGAAAGGTAGAGTTTTATGTTTTCTTCGTTTAACTTTTAGGTATTTTTTCCTGGGATTTTATGATTTTTACTGAAAGTATGAGTGAGAAGACTTTTAGGGAATCTATTGAAAAGACGGATCTTTTGAGTTGATAATCTGGTGGATAATGTAAACTCGTTTCCAAATGTTAAACAACTCCACCTCTGGAATAAGTTCCACTTTGTAAGATGTAGTATTCCTCTAATGTTCTGCTGCACTTTTTATAATGTTTTATTTAAGATTTGTACATTAATGCTTAGGAGAGTTATTTTCTGTTACCATAGAAGGTGATACTGAAGTTCATAAGAACTTCAGTTTCATAAGAAATGATTGTGAGTGTTCATAGCAGCACAATTTACAATAGCCAAGAGTTGGAAGCAACCTAGGTGCCCATCAGTAAATGAATGGATCAAAAAATTGTGGTACATATACACAATGGAATTCTATGCAGCAAAGAGAAAGAAGGAGCTACTACCCTTTGCAACAACATGGATGGAACTGGAAAGCATTATGCTGAGTGAAATAGGCCAGGCATTGAAGGACAAATACCATATGATCTCACCTCTCACAGGAAGCTAAACAATAAAACAAACAAGCAAACAAAATAAAAACAAAGACACTGAAATAGAGAATAAGTGGGCAGTGACCAGAGGGGAGAGGGAAGGGTATTTAAGGGGAAAAATGGGGAGAGATTTTGAGGAACAAGTATGAAAGACACAAGGATGAGGACTGGGGGGGGGGAATGGGAGGGAGGTAGGGAGATGGGGCGGGGGGGGGGGGCTGGGATGGGAGAAATCGACAAAAAAATGTACTTGAAAAATAATTAAATAAAAATTTAAAAAAAGAAACAGATATTCAATTAAAACTAAAAAAAAAAAAGAAATGATTGTGAGAATTTCATGTTTTCTATTCACTCCAACAATACATAGTTCCAGATGATTGATACCAGAAAAAAAATTTTTTAATTAATTTGCTGTCCACTCTGTAACTGGTGTTATTTTGTTAGTTTGCTTTTGTTTGTGAAATAGCTCATTTAAAATACAACATAATACTAGTCACAAGACTGATCTGAGAATAAATGACTAGAGCAATGAGACAGAATTGAGTCCAAAAATTTCTCAAAGTAAATGACTTTAGTACAACAAAGATGGCATGTCATCTAAGAGAAAAAAAATAGTTTTGAAAGGGGAAAAATACCATTTAAAAACAATATATTAATCTACACAAAGATAAATCTCAGATGATTTAAAATTTATATGAGAAAGTCAAATAACTAAAGCTCCAGATGAAAAATATTAGCCAAATCATTTTCTAATTTTTCTGTAGAAGATCAAGCAGATTTCATTAATCAGAATCTGAATGGCAAGTATGTCTAAAAGATAAATGTGAAACTTGAGGAAAAATCATTAGCCACAAATACGACAATAGATGATGTCCTTATTATATAATGTTCTTCAAATTCAATTTAAGAAAACAAAAAATCAAATGGAAAAAAATGGTCAAGGCAAAAACAGAAACTTCCCCAAAAGAAATACAGTTGGCTCTAAAATTATGAAAAGATGTTCAACCAGACTAAAAATACTTATATGAAATTTAAATTCTATCCTATAGATTACTAAGAAGTTTGAAAATAGTCCATTAATAGTAAAAGTGTTCAGAAATTACCTTTCTTACAGATCGTGGTATAAGAGTCAATTTAAATATATGTGATTTTTTTTACCTAAAAAATTTATTTTCAGGAAAATGTGCTAAGGAAATAATTGCTTATTTATATAAAAACTAACCACAAGTGATCCAAGTCATTTATTATATAACATTGAAAATTGGAAATACCTTAAATATTTGTCAATAAGGATTTAGCTAAATAAGCAATAGGGCATTTGTAGAATTGATTCTTAAGTCACTAAAATGATCAAAAGTTTCATGTCTATTGACATGGAAATATGCCCACAACATATGGTTTAGCAAACTAAACAATTTTTAAAAGTTACAAAATAATGATTATAGTGTGATTTAATGTATAATATGATGCTGGTGTGTTTTACAATTCTTTTTTTTTTTTTTTTTTTGTATCTAGTATGGGTAGGAGAATTCTCTAGTATGTTGTAGGGAATTCTTTTTTCTCTACAACATGGATTAGGATGTTGTAGGGAAAATTATAGAAGAATTCCTACCAAAGAATTCTATAGTGATTATATATGAATTTTAGGGTGTCAAATACTTCTAATTTTCTTTTTATGCTTGTCTATGCTGGTTAATTTTATTTTATATTAAGCATGTTTTTAAATAAAGAAATTAATTTTTAGAAATAATTATATTCACTTTTCAAAGATCAAATTCTAAAATCTGATGTGTTTATTTGAACTTCCAATTCAAAGTCTTGAATTCTTAGGAAAATTTAAGTTGATAACATATATATATATATATATAGAGAGAGAGAGAGAGAGAGAGAGAGATAGTAAAAGGAAAACATTTCATCAGTAAATATCATGAAATTATTTTAGTAAAATTTAACTAACTTGGAAGAAATCTGGTAATTTTAAAAGCATAGGTGAATTCTGTGACAAATGTGCCCATTTTTTGTTTGTTTGTTTCTCTAAGACAGGGATCAACAAATTATGACTCTTGGGCTATATTTGGCCTGCTGTCTCTTTTTGTATGGCCTATAAACTTAGAATTGTTGTTATATTTTTGAATGGCTGAAAAAATGAAAGAATATTTTGTAAGTGAAATGATAATGAAATTTAAATTTCAGTTTTCATCAATAAATATCTGAATTAGATCAATGAAAAAGTATTTTCCTTTTTCTTTTAGTCATAGAAGTACCTATATAATATTCTCACTTTTATATTTTGACCCCCAAGCCCTAGAATATATATCATGTGGCCCTTTACAGACAAGAAAAAGAGCAACCAAGCAAGCCAGTTACCTCTGAAATCAACAGCCCTCCTGCCTCTTCTTGCAGGCTGAGGATTGCTGTAGGGAAAAGACAGGTAGCGGATGTTTTTGGCACAAGCCTGTAAGAAACAAGTAAAAATTTTAAAAAGCACAGTTCGAGTTTCACATGGCAAGAAAAGTGAAGGACTCAAATCTATACTGTGTCATCTTTTGAATGACTGGCTTTTGATTACTTTTGTTTAAGAAAACCAAAATGCCTCAGCCTTTAAGAGGTGTTTTATTTCCTTCTCATGTAAAATAGACCATTATAAACTCTCTGAGTTAATCCTGCCTTCTTACTGAGATTAGGGTACAGAGGAGGAACTACTCCAGACTCAACCTCTAACCAGTAAGATTGGTTTGTTATTGACTAAGATAGAATAAGTCAGGTGCACAAGTGATAAGGAAATAAGGCCCAAGCAACTTGGCAAAAGAAACTTCCTCCCTGGAAGAGATATAAGCTTTCTAGAGCAGGGGTCCTTGTCCAAGGAGGTCCCCTTGCATGTTCAGGACCTAGCCACCTTGGTGTCTGGTCTAGACTCACAGTCCAGAGAGTGCAATATAGTTACTGACCCATGCTGGAGAACAGATCCCATGGGTTTCCTAAGGCCCTGGACGCCAAGAGAGATACCCAAATATGGTGTCCTGCACTCCATTCCTTTTGTATTTCTCTGTCAACAAGGCATTAGTTTTTGTTTTTGTTTTTTTGCTTGTTTAAATATCAGTGGTAGTCACTTGAGAAGGCCCTATATAGAGAGTGGCCCAGTTCTCAGGTGTATCCGCAGTCCCCACCTCACCGGCTTTCCCCATGGCAGGCTGTGGCCTTTCCTCATGCTCTCCTGGAAGGTGTTCTTGTGGCGAAGCAGGATCTCTTTAGCCTGGTTCTCAATTGTTTCAGGTCTGAGATTGTATTTGTTATAGGACAGTGTCTACAGAAAGACAAAATGTCAAATATGAAAGGACATATTTGACAGCTCCAGGATAGCTGCCAACCTCAGGGGCCATCAAAATATCATGAGTTACAACCACTACAGCAAGAAGACACCATGGAAGTCATCTGAGCATTTTCTTTAATTAAAGGGGTGCAAGCTGTGGCCCCACAAAGAAGGGTCTATGACCAAGGCCACCCTCATCAGGACATATTTGTGGTTGGAGCTGATGCCTCCTGGCTCACACAGCAGTGCTTTCCATCTTAATCTCCCTCTATTATCCTTGCATCACTCCCCCCTCCACTCAAATACCCACAGAATTGGACTGCCCAATATAAACACTTGTTTTCCCTGGGTTGTATTTTTACATTAAGTCAGTGGTTACTGAATTCAGTGAATCAGGACAATGTCAGAACTACCTTGGGAATTCCCACAAGGTTGCTATTTTTTAGTTTTACCTACTAAAGACACATTTAAAAAATCAACCAAATCATCTAAGATAAAAAGAATAGTCCTTCATATTGAATCAGCTTAGCTTAATGAAAAATTTCTTCCTTGTCTTTACAAAGGCCAGTGAGAACCTGTGTTCAACCACAGACCAACATTAGTCCTCAGATGTTTACGAAGTGCTTAACTGGAACTTCTTTCTCTTCTTTTCACTCAGGGTTTACCAGTATATATCCTGTTTCCCGTGGGCCAGTAGTTCTCTTGGTAATAGAATCAGGACAGCAGGCACTATCACTCCTGGTTAATGGATGCTTTAACAAGGATATTCAGTTCAACAGCAAAAAAGCAAACTCTTTATATGCCAAGTGCCATGGAAGACATGAATTTTTTAAAAAAATGGAGTAGTTAAAAGTATGATCTTTGAAAGGCTCATACTCTACTGGGGCAGTTATACAAATAAGCACATGCTATTATGTGCTCAGGTAAGTGATGAGATGTTGGGGTTTGTAGGAGTTATGGAGTACATGCAAAAGGCATTCAATCAGTCTGTTATTTTTGTGTGTTTTAGTGTATACACATCCAGTTAAGTACAATTATGAACTTTGTTATCTATTAGCTTAATAATAGTTAACTAATCCTCATAAAAGGGCAGTTGTCTAAAAGTAGTTCCATAAAGAAGGCATAGATTGGGGGTCAGGGAAACAAAGGTGAATTAGCAAAGCCAAACTTCTCTCTCAGCTGTTGTGAGATCTTTACCAGATGCTCTTGCTAAATTAACCAATCTGACAAGAACTTGTCCAGAAAAATTGAATTTTGAAGACATTTTGAAATATAGATTTTTATCTACTACCAGTAATGATAGACCTTAACCTAGGTACTTTGTACATTGAGATATTAAAGGATACATATAACACTGTCATAAAAATATTTAAAAAATAAGCATCTACAATACTGAGAAAAACTTTTATAATTTTTCACCAATGTTAAATCATGCAAAACTGAAGTTAGTGTTTATGTTTACACACATATACATATGTATGTATACATATGTTGCTAGTAGAAATTCCCTACATCCTGACTTGAGGAAAGGTTTTCCTTTAAGAAAAATTTGGATGTTGCTTTGTTATGACAGGGACCAGAGGTGAGAGGAGAGAGAATTTCAGGGGCAAAGGGGTAGGATTCACAAGAACAAGTATAAAGGACACATGGACAAAAACTAAGGAGGGAATGGGAGGGAGGTGGGGAGCACGGGGGGGGGGGGCTGGGATGGGAGTAAAAGACAGAAAACTGTACTTGAACAATAGTTAAATTAAAAAAAGAAAAATTTGGATGTATTTTTTTCTATTTTGCCTCATATCACTTCACTCATGCTTGTCTAATTTGCCTATATGCAGGGAGCATAGTAGGTCCTATGCACATAATGTATATTTAAGCTTTTTCTCTCCCCTGCCTCCCTTTCTGCCTTTCAGTGAAGGAGTTGGTAACTGTATAAAGCCTGTATTTCCTACTAAAACTTGAGCTCTTTGGAATAAAGATGTACATTTTAGATGTGCGTTAAATCTTTGCTAAAGGGAACTAAAGTTAAACAAATTGTTTTTCTCCTTTGAAAATATAAAATTCTGACTGTGTCCTGATCATTAGGGCCACCACAGGGACTACCCAACAGTCTTTTGACTTATCCTTAGGATCAAGGCTGAGGTTAGTCTCCCCTTGTAAATTTAGAGTTTTTCTCAATCTCCATTCCTACTTCATTCCAAAGCACTTCTGATGTGCTTGTCCTATTGAGAATCTTCGGAGATGAATTATTCAACTTCCCCACCAGTGAAGATCTTGTACTAGATGTGCTAAGGGATGGTGCCAGAGCCCTTTCAGGTAGAACAGACTCAGCAGAACCAGCTCGGTTTCAGACCGATTACATGTTAGGATTCTCCAGAGTCAAACCCTACACTCATTCTAACCTTGCTTTGAAGTGACTCCTCACTCCCAAGATGGCCTCTTCTGAAATGTGGACTGTGAGAAATGTCCCAACTGCAGTGTGAGACCTAATGACCCAGGTTAGTTAACTATAGATGTCACCTTTTGTGACAATCCTCAAAATTGTAGATGGCCCACTAGAAACAAAGCAGTCAAATAACTTTCCTGGGTGGCATTTTGAGAGCTGTGTTTCCTTCAAGAAAGCAAGAGGATCATGGTGGAGGTAAGGAGCCACATGACCTATGCAGAACAGAAGACAGAGAAGAGAAAGAAAAGACAGGAAGGGAGAGACCTGGTAAGTTTCACTATCTCAAAGTAACAAAAGTGTAGGCAAAAGCCATTCCAGAGGCTTGGAACTATCCTCCATTTATTATTTATGTTCTCCACCTGTGACTTTCCATAACTTATTTGTTTATTTGGGGACTACCACATAGCTTACAAGGCAGGGGACTACCACATAGCTAACAAGGAGTATCCTAGAGGAGAGACCGAATAGGCATGTGGATAGAAGAAGAAAGGTGGCATCTGGGAAATTGCATAAAAGTGAAAAAAGAGAGAATGAGCAGTTAACCTCATGGTTTAGACCGGATTGGAGACCCAGGATCTCTACCTCCATTTCTGGACCTTTCCTTAAATTCAACCTTCATCAATACAGGAAAACAAGCTAAGTACCAGGCACGTTTTGAGTTCTGGCCCTCCCTAAGCTAGCCACATTGTTTAAACCAGGAAGTTCCTAACTATTTAGCTAAAGCAGAACATGATAGTCTTAGTGAAACAGTTTCACTTGGAATGATTTGAAAGCTGTTGCATTTACTGAAAGCATGCTATGATTGCTGCTGACCTATATTCCTTCAGCGGGTGCAGATACTTTCCATGACACATTCCCCATAATCACTGACCTTTTTAAAGCAAGAAGCTGAAAGATTTACTTTCACTACATTCTATAAATATGGAGTCATCGAAAGAGCACTAGGTAGGCAGCTGGAAGACCTGGGTTCTTCTTTTTGTTCTGTGACCTTAAACAAGTCAGATAATCAACTCCCCTAACCTTAGCATTTTCTATGTGAAAATGAGGAGCTTCAACTAGATGATTTGTTTTGGTCCCATCAAGACTGTAATTTATGATATAGTCACAAAAATCAAAGCCCTCATAAAGAATTCACTTATAATCACTGAAGAATTTGATCAACTCCTCAAACTTAAAAGAAAAAGCAACTCCTAACTAGAGTTCACAGGTTTATGTATCATTGGACTAAATCAAAGTTTCAGAAGCACTCACCCGCTGATTCAAGAAATGTTCCTACTCTACACTTTGGACCAGACTCCACACCATTTTCCAAAATTGAGAAATAAGATACCTAATACATCTCCTTTTTTAAAAAGCCTTCTACCATTACAGTTTCAGTGCTCTAGTAGAAACCATCTCAATTTTCTGAGCTCTATTACAGTCAACAGATTGAAACAACTATCTGTGACTGGGAGCCATCATTTTTTTTTCAGGGCTAGGACAGCCTGACCCCTGGGGACAGCAACTAGCTTTGCATTTCTTTTTATACCACAGGTGCCAATTTGGAGCAGAAATATAACAATGAACTTTCTGTTCTCCAAACGAAGCAGGAAAAAATTGTTCAGCAAAAAGGCTGCTTTAGAGAGGACAATGCAACCAAGACCTGATTCTTGAGAGGTTGTTTCCCAGGACAGACCACAAGGACAAGTAAGATCACTTCTACAGACCCTCTGTCGAACTCGGTACATATTGCGTGTCAGAATGTCCCTCATGGCCTCCACATCTTCTGGGGAAAGCTTTTTGACTCCTTGTATCCGTTGGGTTCTGCAAACATCATTGGAGGAAGGCAAGCATTAATGTTCCATCTTGGCAAGAGTGCCGGAAAAGTATCAAAGTACTTGAGGGAGTTCTAAGTTCCAGGCCCCTGTTTTTACATAATCTTTCCTGTTGTTTTAGTAAGCTCCAGTGAAATAGCAGTACATAGTCTTGACTTACATTTTAAAAATATAGTTTCTTTGCCTTTAGCTTTTATATGGAAAATATTATAACTCATTTTTAAAAAGGGGCTTAAGATGATAACAAATCAGTTTCTTTCCCCTCCATATTTGCTATAAACAAACATGTCTATAAAATATAATAAAGTCAATTATTAGAAAATAAAATTTTAAAAACTACCATAAAATGCAAACCAAATGTTTTACTATTAGATTCAACAGAAATAAGGTTACCCAGTCAAAACTGATTCTTTTTTTTTTTGAGGCTGATTCTTAATTAGCTTTGTAATTATGGTAGACAAGTGACAAACAGCTCATGGACAATGATGCTATATCCACATACCACATTTTGACTGGCATTAAGCTAAGTGTATTAAAATTTTATGAGTACCTTTATGAGTATCTACCTTGGGATTGTTCCTTTAGGGGTTTTATCTTCTGGAAAGTTAAAGAACATTCTAAGAAACTAGTATCATATTTTACAAGGAGAATTAGAACAGTTTTATCATGAGAAATCCAGCCCAGTTCTGAAACACTAAGAACTCTGTGAGATTCTAGAAACAGTTGACTGCTCACTGCTTCTGCATAGACCAGCTCCCCACATTGTCCTTCTCCATGAGTCCCCCCACAACCCCACCAAAAAGATTCAAAACCAAGTCATGCCCAGATTATCAGTCAATGTATAATTGTCTTCTGAGGATTTCAAACATTGCTATGTGCAGAATTTGCATTGACAAATATATTTGATTCAATCATTTTAATTTAGTGGAGGTAATTTCTATTACTATGTGCAGAATTTGCATTGACAAATATATTTGATTCAATTATTTTAATTTAGTGGAGGTAATTTCTATTACTATTTTGTGAGTAATATATATTCATTGTAGAACATAAAAACTAAAAAAGAAAACTAAAGAAAATTAAACCATTTTTAATACTATCATCTCCCTTAACATTTTTATATAAACGCTTACAGATTTTTGCTTTTTTTCCTTCTCTAGCTGTAGCTCTTCTGAATGCATAAGGGCACTGTTGTGCTCAAATCTGCTCTCAAAGGGCTTAGGATAATTGATCAAAGAGATACATAGTTATTAGTTTCCATACAGGTCACTTTAAAATATTTCCCCCAAGCACTGGTAGCAATGTAATCACAAATAGCAAGGACATTTTGTAAGTAATGTAAAACTGGTAAAGGATTTTTAAGGACCTGAGTGCTAGATATATTTAGCAATTCTATCTGTGCACTGACTAATACCCTTTCTACATAATCTTTGAAACGAGAGTTTCCATATCTTAGAGCCACGAATATCAACACTATTGACATTGTTCCCAACCTTGGTGAACTTAACATTATTATAAAGGCTTTTCAACTTAATTGTTAAAATGTTCTTCAAATAAAATGTATTCTTCTGATTTAGATACACCCACACATTCCAAAAATTGTGATACATTCCCTTATAATCATGGAAGTAATCTATTGCTAAGTAGAAGCAACAACTAATGAGGGGGTTTCATTTTCTGTATGCCTATCAAAAAGTAGGAAAACCCATTTGTAAAGGCAATGTTAAAGTTAAACTTCAGATAGCAGGAGATCTAACTTGGCACACTCTTTGGTTTACAATTGACCACTTTGGGAAGGATCAAACTTAATTAAAAGTTCATTCAGGCTGCTGGCTGGATGTGTAATACAGGTATCCCAAGGACATCATCTTTCACTGATCCACAGTGAGAAGCTATAGCTATAAAATCATAAATCGAATCATTAACTTGGCAAGGTGACACCTGGAAGTTTTCTACCTGCCACTTGATTAGCAGGAGTATCATGGAAATAATTATATTATGAGCACAGGAAAGGTATAATCTTTAGAAAAATGAAATATTAATAATTTGTTAGTCAAAAAAGTAAAATTATAAACTGAAAGATCTTTGCCACTTGAATCTTCATTCATTATCCATAAAAGAAATGTCTGTCACCATAAATGAAAGTCCTATGGTAATTTCATGACTCTTAAAATCAAACAGAAAAATCTGAATCTAAATGTATTTGAATAAAAGGTTCATATTTCTTTTAACTTCTTTTTCAAAAAAGAGATGTTATAATAGTGTAAAAAAGAGGCTTCAGTTACAAATAATATAGATATAAAATCTGGTAGATGTTATGTTAATGCCATAATATTAATTTACAAAACATCAAATACTATACCCCAATTCATTTAGAAGAATCCATTGTCTTTGAATAGCTTTGTTCATGAAATCCACAGGAAATGCATAAGGTGACTTCTGTGACTGTGGTTGCCTAGTGTCTTCCCCTATTAAATTTATTGGAATTACTTTTTAGGAAGGTCACAAAAATGACCAAAATTTAGAATGAGTGAGAGTGGCAGAGAAGAAGGCCTGACTTCCCATAACACCACATTCCATTATAGAATGAAAATGACATCAGTCTACATTCCAGAGTCTTTGGTATAAAAATGCACAAAGGTAAACTTCCACCAGTCAATATGTGATCGAATAAAAATTTATTAAAGTACAATAATGCATGCTTTTTGTAAATGACATATTGAAATGATTGAAATTATTTGGGAGTTTTTAAACATAATATTTTAAAGCTATACATTGTAGTTTGCTATGCCTATAAATTTATAAATTTGCATTTAATATCTTTTTAATATTAACCAAAATTTTTAAAGCTTCCACAGTTCTAATCAATCTAAGACTCTATCCTCTGATGTTTTAAAAGCTTACTACTCACTGGTAAAATGAGATGCCTCATATTTAAAAGAATGATTCAAATACATACTCTACTTATTCCATATTGTTGTTTTCAGGTTCGAATGAAATAATGCATGCAAAAGTAATAAAATTCCATGGAGTCAGCAACATCTGCACTGTGCTATAGACAACTTTTGGTGGGAGGTTCTCCTAAAAGTCACAGAGTTTTTAAATCTAAATCTCTTGTAGAACAATTGCTAAACTTCTAAAGAAAAAAAATGCATGTGCATTTTTCTGTTTTCATTTCATACAGAATAATAAAAAGCGAGCTGAATATACACTTCTTTTTCCTATTATTGTATGAAGGTTTGTTTATTAAGAAATTAGCTGCTTTGATCTTAGGAGAGGAATTCCTTTTTGCTTGATGTTCTACATATTTCTGTTGAGATCAAATAAATACAGTTTAACTACTGAACTTGAATTAATGTGTTTAAAAATTCTCCTCTCCACCCCTGTTTGGGCTATAGGTAGGAAAATGTTTATCTCTTACCTATAAGGCTCTCTTACTAATCTTGAATCAATGTCTTATAACTGTCTGAAAGTATAATTGACTCAAGAGAATCCTCCAACCCCCTCCAAATAAAGCTTGCTTAAAAATTACCTGAGGTCAGAAACTGGGACAACAGTTTATGATCAGTGTAATGTAATTCAGAGATTCAAATTATGTTTTAGCACGGAATAGACTGATTCTTACTGGAGATAAGTGGTCACACATTCCTAGACCAAATGCTAACATAACTAGTAAACAAACCAATTGAGGAAGTTTCTAATAGTCTAACTTGCCTGAACCTGCCCAGCCCTCCTGCCATGCATTGAGTTAACTGCCATTCATCCTTCAGTGAGCAGGTCAAATGTCTGGGGAATGGGTGAGTTTCACCTCTTACACTATCAGCTCCATGGACTTTAGAATTATATGTTTATGACCTTTTAAAATTAATATAACCTTTTGTATTAATGTCATGACCGAGCTCAATGAACAGAGGGACACTGTTTGCTTTCACATAGTAGGTGCCCAAAGAATAAGATTGGGCCTACAGTGAGGCTCGTGCAGTACTTGCCTCTGGTAAGAGGACATCAAAAAATTGTATATGGTTTTTACCCCTCCATGAACCCAACCCCTACACCAGAATTAAGTAATCAAGTTAAGTAGGATTTGAATGCAATATTTTAGAAAGTAAAGGTCAATGCAAAAAATCCATGATGAATAAAATATTAACATTTTAAGTAAAAACAAGCTCAATATTACTGATTTTTCCTTCTGCTTTAGGCTCTAATATGGCTCAGCATGGCACTGCCAATTAAAATTTGTTAACAAGTTTTCTTATAGCCATTTCATGGGCAGCATCAAAATAAACAAATCAACCACAAAACAGTTTCACTAAAAAATAAGGCAAACTGCTTTTTATTTACACTGGGATGCACTCAGGGATATCACTACCTTAGATTTTTCCTAGCTGTGGAAGAGAGACAGTGGTGTTTCTGATTTATTAGTAAGTAAGCAATGAGAAGAAACACACATTCAAGCATAAGTGACAATTTTATTGCTATGTATTCTTAGCTCTTCTCTCAACTAGGTTTTCAAACATGAAGACATTATTAAAGCTCATGATCAAGTGTTCTTACTACCTGAACAGAACAGGATGGAAGGGCTAGAGTTCCTTATCCTAAATACATGCTCTGATTAATTTTCCAATTCATAAATCATTTCTTGGGAGAAAACTGTGCATCCATGGGTGGGGGCAGGTATAAATTAATCCATGTGATATTGAAAAGACTCTTGTTAAATGTCAGAGAGTTAAAGCAGCTTTTAAAATATCTACCCGCATGTTAAGATAATTGGTTTCCAATGCTCCAATAGAAGTGCCATGCTTCAAAGGAAATAATCTTGTAATGACAGACTTATACACAGGTCTTAACCCTCCAAACACTGGCCTCTACACCAATTCCCTAAGGCCCTCTGCTCCGGGAAACCATTCCTCTCTTTGATCCCATTACAAGCTAGTCTCACACAGGCTCAAGACAAAGCTCACACTGATCTTTTGGCCTTAAACACAATGACAAACACACTTGTCTTTTTAAACAGCCCACCAACCACCACACCTCTTGCTACCACCACTCATCTCCAAATTCAAGTTAGCACCTCAGAATGCTGTCTTGGTTTCTCTTTGTGCAAGAGAGGAAGAGAAATGACTCATAGGAAGAATGCAATGGTAGGATTAGCAGAATCAAGCAAACAAGGGTTGAAGGGTGGAGATTCGTAATCAGAAAGAGAAAGATATATCCTTGTAAAACATGCTGTAATTTGATAAATTCATTTGCCTCTCCCTCCCAAAGAAAGTATTTGCAGAAACCAGGTGAAACAGGTTGTGCATGGCTAAGCTACTAAATGCCAAGACTTAGATGATCTTTTTTTAAAGATTTTATTTATTTATTTTTAGAGAGGGGGAAAGGAGGGAGAAAGAGAGGGAGAGAAACATTAATGTGTTGTTTCCTCCCATAAGCCCCCCCCCACCCCGGGGGACCTGGCCTACAACCCAGGCATGTGCCCTGACTGGGAATCACACCTGTGACCCTTTGCTTCACAGGCCAACACTCAATCCACTGAGCCATACCAGCCAGGGCAAGATCATGTTTTTTTTTTCAATATTTCTACCTCATAGTAGGTAGAAATATTGTGTTTTTTCACCCCCAATATTATCTTTAAGTAAGAATTAATGAGTTAGTGCCCTTTGGAATCCTGATGTTGAACATCTAAATCAGTGGTTGCCAGAGGGGAGGGATGTTGGAGAACTGGGTGAAAAAAGTGAAGGGATTAAGAAGTACAAATTATAGTTATAGAATAGTCACAGGGATGTAAAGTACAGCATAGGGAATATAGTCAATAATATTGTAATATCTATGCATGGATCCAGGTGGGTACTTAAAATATTGGGGGATCACTATGTAAATTACATGATTGTCTAACCACTATGCCGTACACCTGAAACTAGTACAGAATAGTAACAAAAGTAAACTATAATTGAAAAACATTTTTAATGAAAAATAATCTAAACCAAAGAGCAAATATGACTTACTGATGGGGTATGGAAAAGGCTGCAGAACTTAGAATACCAGTCTCTACCATCTCAATAGCTTGCTTTATTTCCAGCCTCTTGTACAAAGAAACAATGCTTGATTTTGGCAGGTTCTTTCGGATTAGGATTTTCCGTAAATATCTATGATCGAACTTCTTAAACCTAAAAATAAAAACCAACATTTGGGAAATGTTTAATCTCTGTACATGATATGTAACCATGCCCTGTGCTTAAAATAAATTACTACTTAACTTTAGTCTGAGAAACATCAGGACAGTGTCTGGAATTCATAGCTGTTGAACATTTTTAAATCATGAAATTAATATTTTTTAAAGAAAGAAAGAATGGCTTATTGGCCTGAATATAATGAAAATCAATTACATGAAAGGAAAGGACGAGCTGCAATTAGGACAGAATATGTTATAAGGAGGGAGCAGGAAAGGCCCAGTCTAGCTCATTTCCAACTGTAAGAGAAAAAATGAGGTGGTTGGAGCTTTTGAACAGGTGTTTCATTCTAATAGCTCCTAACAGTGGCAGATATACTTACAGTGATACTGGCTTATCCAAACAAAACCAGGAAGTTTTAATGGCTCTGTGGTTACAGTAGTTTTCCCCCCTATGCTGAAGATCACTTTCTGTTTTGCCAATTAAGGGGTGGTTGCAAGAACCCATAAACCTTGATAGTCTGAAGGATGGAGAATCTGAATAGGCTAGATACAGATGTCTGCTGATTATTGTAGTGAACTTCTCACTGACCCATTAGACTGAGCTGCATGGATGTGTTGATGCCTTCATAAAAGTTGGCCATTTTTTTGGGTAGAAATTTTCAACGCTTCCAATCACTTTACATTCAATAAGTAATTTGTCTACCTACTTTACTTGTTGCCATTCCCCTTGCCCTACTTGCAATATGGCTTCCCCTGATACACCACTGGGTTATCATCTCCATGCCCACCATGTCCTGACTGATACAGGCTTTCCCCTTTAGCTTTCCTAATGACTTCTGAGTCTCCTCCACCCTTCCTCTTCCTTACCTGCCCAACAGAAATGGAGGCTTCTCAGAATCCTGTCCTCAGTGACTGTACCCATGCCCATAGCTTTGGTTACCAAACACTACCTGACAACCACAACTTTAATCTCCAGCCCAATCTTCATAATAGATTATGAAACATAATCTATTGTTTAACTGTAAACATTTGTTTACCGTGTATAAATATAACCATGATATTATTTCTCCCTAGACTCCTGCCTGGAAATCTCAGTCATTCTTATTTTCCACTGACTTCTTTTTTTATTTTTATTTTAAAAGAATTATTGAAGTATAATTTAAGTGTATGATTCAGTAATTTTTAAATATATATTTTATTGATTATGCTATTACAGTTGTTCCATTGTTTTCTCCCTTTTATTTTCCTCCACCCTGTACCCTCCCTCCAACCAGCATTCCCCAACCTTAGTTCATGTCCATCGGTCATGCATATAAGTTTTTTGGCTTCTTCATTTCCCATGCTATTCTTAACCTTCCCCTGTCTAATTTGTACCCACCACTTATGCTCCTTATTTACTGTACCTTTTCCCCCATTCTCCTTCCTCCCTCTCCTTTCAGATAATCCTCCATTGTGATCTCCATTTCTATGAATCTGTTCCTGTTCTAATTGTTTGCTTAGTTTATTTTTAGTTTTGTATTTTTTTAGGTTTAATTCTTGATAGTTGTGAGCTTGTTATCATTTTACAGTTCATATTTTTTATCTTAATCTCTTCTTGGATAAGTCCCTTTAACATTTCATATAATAAGGGATTGGTGATGATAAACTCCTTTAACTTAACCTTAGCTGGGAAGCACTATATCTGTGATTCTATTACAAATGAAAGCTTTCCTGGATAGAGTAATCTTGAATGTAGGTTTTTTTACTTTCCTGACTTCAAATACTTCTTTCCAGCCCCTTCTTGCCTGCAAGGTTTCTTTTGAGAAATCTGCTGATAGTCTTATGGGAACTCTGTTGTAGGTAACTGTCTCATTTTCTCTTGCTGCTTTTAAGATAATCTCCTTATCTTTAATCTTGGCTAATGTAAATATGATGTGCCCTGGTGTGTGCTTCCTTGGGTCCAAATTTTTTGGTACTCTCTAAGTGGCCTGGATTTCCTGGAAGTCTATTTCTTTTGCCAGATTAGGGAAGTTTTCCTTCATTATTTGTTCAAGTACATTTTCAATTTCTTGCTCTTCCTCTTCTCCTTCTGGCACTCCTGTGATTTGGACGTTGGAACATTTCAAGTTGTCCTGGAGATTCCTAAAGCCTCTCCTCATTATTTCAAATTCTTATTTCTTCATTCTGTTCTGGTTGAATCTTTCTTTCTTCCTTTTGGTCCAATCCAGTGATTTGAGTCCTACTTTCCCTCCCATCACTGTTGGTTCCCAGTAAATTTTTCTTTATTTCACTTTGCATATCCTTCACTTCTTCCTCTATTTTTCAACCATACTTAATCATTTCTGTGAGCATCTTGATTACCAAAGTTTTGAACTGTGCATCTAATAGACTGGCTATCTCTTCATCACTTACTTGTATTTTTTTTCTAGAGCTTTGATCTGTTCTTTCATTTGGGCAACATTTTTTTTTGTCTCAGTGTACCTGTTATGTAGTAAGGGGTGGAGCCTTAGGTATTTGCCAGGGCAGGGCAATTCATGTAGCTATGCTGTGGCACTATATGTTGGGGAGGGGTCCAAGAGGGAACAATGCCACTTGCTCTGCTCTCAGTTGTCTTTCAGTCACTTCCTCTGCTATCTACAAGCATATCGGGCACTTCTGGTGCTTATTCCCCAGTGAGTGGTTTTGTGTACTAGTCTAAGACCCTACGGATCTCTACAATGACCTCTTCTGTAAAGCTGGGAGTTTCTCTCACAGGTTTTTTCAGTCAGAATTTTTGAGGCTTTATTTCCCCATGCTGGAACCCTGGGTCGAGGTCTTTCTCGCTTCACAGTAGTTCCTCCACATGCAAATGTGGGAACTCCTGCTCCACCAGGTGCCACCTTTCCCAGTCCTTTAGCCACTGCCTTGCCACAGGTCCTCTCCACCCCAGCTGCCCATCTCCACCTCTTCTACCAGTTTGTGTGAATGTTTCTTCTTTAACTCCTTGATTGTCGTTGGCAGTTCTGGTTATTTTTTGTTTTTAAATTTCTTGTCCTTTTTTGGCTGTGTGAAGAGTCATAGTGTATCCACCTACACCTCCATCCTGGCCAGAAGTTTTCCACATGGTTCTTGTATGGAATGGCTCCCAGACCCTTGATCTTCCCAGTCCCCTTCCTCTAGATTTTTTATAGTTTTATGCTCAGCTTCCAATGTAACCTTTTGAGGTTCCCCATGCCATAAATATCCTTCCAAAATAGTGAAACCCTCAGTTTCCTTACTTGTCTCTCACTTGGTAGTGGCTCCATTGCCCACACACATCTTCAATTCCAGCCTTCAGGTGATCCAGCAGCTGCCAAACCAAACACAAGGAAATGAGTGCTGGTGAAACCTTAATGGTGAAAGACACACATGGTAATCTGATACACTTTGGAAAACAAAGGAGTCTGTTATTCCCTGGAGCATATCCTCTTATCTATCACTCTGTTCATACAACTAAAAAGTTATAAATGTTTTCATAGTAATTTAACTATATTTCATGATTCAATGACTGTAGGAAAAAGTTCCTTAATAAGGTACATAACTTGCAATGAAAACAGGGTACCTGCCATTTCCTTGAATATTATATTTCTAGAAATGTCTAGGGAATATCTCATTACTGAAATCATGTAGATATAAAGCCTACTAATTAACTTACTATTAATTTCATGGCAAAAAAGAGAAAATGCCAGTATCCAATTTATACAGCTTCTAAAAACATAATCTACAGATGTTCTATTATAATAACATATAACAACAAAATTTAGCTATATGCCTAATTTTTTGACATTTTTCATGATCCAGGCCAAATATAGTACATTTGACTTATCCAAATTGTTTATAGAAGCTTAAGTAAAAGGCACAATCCTATCAAAATTTATAAATTAGTATTCATACAATTTAAATTTATAATTACTAAAGTTTAAACTAGCTTCTAAACTTTTGCAGAATATATGAAAATACTAAATTTCTGAAATAACTAACTGGTACACATTTTACCAATAATTATAACTTTTTTAAAACATAAGAAAGAAGTAAATAACCAATTTTTATTGTCTTAGATATATAATTTCTTATCTCTGAAAATAATGAGCAGAGGTTAGAGAGACAAAATTTTTAGTTAGGTTAAACATTACTGATTTTAAAGCACTTACTCCCTGTCCTCATATATTGAATATTTACAAATGACTTTGAACAGTTTTGGTTTGGTAGCATAAAAAGCATCCCAAGAGCATCTAGTTTAGGTGATCAAGGGGACTGCACCACTGACTCTGACAGGCCTTGCACCATAGATGGTTTCACCACAAAGTCAGGAGGACAAAACAGATCAATAAAGAAACAAAAACAAAGCAAATAGGGTTTCACAAATACTGGGAAGACAAAGAAAGAACTCTCAATCGAAAGGAAAGGAGGAATCCTCAGAAAAAGTGCTAAATAAAATAGAGACAAGTCAACTAACAAATACTTGGTTCAGAAAAATAGTTATAAGGAGCTCAATGAGCTCCCTGAGAAATACCAAAAACAAGAGGGAAACTATGAGGAACTTACTGCAAACTATATCAGTATAAAAAAGAACATAGAAACAGTCAACATGGGCAAAGAGGAGATGAAGAATACAATTTCTAAATTGAACAACACAGTATAAGGAATCAAAAGAAGGCTACGTGAAGCAGAGAATTGAATCATTGAGCTGGAGGACAATGTGGAAAAAAATTCCCCAAAAAGAGCAAGAAAAGTAAAAGGAGGTCAAGAAGAATGAAGAGGGGTTCAGGGAAATGCAGGACAACATGAAACAGAATAATATCCATATAATAGGGATACCAGAAGGAGAAGAATAGGAGCAAGGAAGAGGAAACCTGTTTGAAAAAATACTGATGGAAAACTTTCCTAATTTGATGAGAGAAAAAGCCACACAAGTCCCGGGAGCATAGAGAGTCCCAGACAAGAGTGACCCCAAAAGGCCCACTTCAAGACATATCATAATTAAAATGGCAAAATTCAAAGACAAAGAGAATCTTCAAGGCAGCAAGAAAGAAAGAGGAAGTAACATACAAGGGAGCCCCGATATGGCTAGCAGCTGACCTCTCAACAGAAACATTACAAGCCAGAAGGGAATGGCAAGAAATATTCCAAGTAATGAAAAGCAAAGGACTGAAAACAAGACTACTCTACCCAGTAAGGCTCTCAATTAAAATGGAAGGTGAAATAAAGAGCTTCCCAGACAAAATAAAGCTAAAAGAATACAATTCCACCAAACCAGCATTGCAAGATATGCTAAAGGGACTGCTTTAAGAAGAGGAAGAAAAATAGTAAAAGGAACATAGGTATAAAGGGAGTAAAATAGAAGTAAGTAAGTACCAATCAATAATATCCTTAAATATAAGTGGATTAAATGCTCCAATAAAAAGACATACAGTAGCTGAATGAATAAGAAAACATGACCCACACATATGCTACCTACAAGAGACTTACCTCAGAACAAAGGAAAGGACCTCCACAGACTAAAAGTGAAGGGTTGGAAAAAAATATTCTAAGCAAACATTCAGGAAAAAAAAGCTGAGGTAGCAATACCTTTAAAATATATTTTATTGATTATGCTATTACAAGTGTCCCATTTTCCCTCCTTTATTCCCCTCCACCCTGCACACCCCTCCCATCCACATTTCCCTTCTTTACTTCATGCCCATGGGTTGTACATATTATTTCTTTGATTTCTACCTTTCTCATACTATGCTTAATCTCCCTCTGTCTATTTTCTACCTACCATTTATGCTACTTATTCTCTGTACCTTTTCTCCATGTCTCCCCATCCCACTCCCCCACTGATAACCCACCATATGATCTTAATTTCTGTGATTATGTTCCTGTTCTAGTTGTTTGCTTAGTTTGCTTTTATTTTTGTTTTAGGTATGGTTGTTAACAGCTGTGAGTTTGTTGTCACTTTAGTGTTCATATTTTTTATCTTCTTTTTTCTAGATAAGTCCCTTTAACATTTCATATAATAAGGTCTGGGTGATGATGAACTCCTTTAACTTGACCTTATCTAGAAAGCAATTTATTTGCCCTTCCATTGTAAATGATAGCTTTGCTGAATAGAGTAATCTTGGATGTAGTCCTTGACTTTTCCTGACTTGGAATACTTCCTGGCAGACCTTCTTGCCTGCAAGGTTTCTTTTGAGAAATCAGTTGACAGTCTTATGGACACTCCTCTGTAGGTAACTGTCTCATTTTCTCCTGCTGCTTTTAAGATAATCTCCTTATCTTTAATATTGGCTAATGTAATTATGATGTACCTTGGTGTGTTCCTCCTTGTGACTCTCTGAGCTTCCTGGACTTCCTGGAAGTATATTTCTTTTGCCAGATTAGAGAAGTTTTCCTTCATTATTTGTTCAAATAGGTTTTCAATTTTTTCCTCTTCCTCCTTCCCTTCTGGCACCCCAGTTATTCAGATGTTAAAATGTTTAAAGATAACCTGGAGGTTCCTAAGCCTCCATTCATTTTTTTGAATTCTTGTTTTTTTATTCTCTTCTGGTTGAATGTTTCTTTCTTCCTTCTGGTCCAAACCATTGATTTGAGTTCCAGTTCCTTCCTGTCACTGTTAGTTCCCTGTAAATTTTCCTTTATTTCACTTAGCATAGCCTCCATTTTTATCTCTAATTTTTTACCATATTCAATCAGTTCTGTGAGAATCTTGATTACCAGTGTTTTGAACTGTGCATCTGACAGGTTGCCTATCTCTTCATTGCTCAGTTGTATTTTTTCTGGAGCTTTGATCTATTATTTCTTTTGGGCCATTTTCTTTTTTCTTTTTTTGGCTCAGTGCACCTGTTATTAAGTAAAGGGTGGAGCCTTAAGTTTTCCTAGGGTGGGGCACCACAGGTCAGAGTTGTGACTATGTGATCAAGGGGTCTAAGAGGAAACAGTGCTGCTTGCTCCACTCTCTGCTGATTTTCAGTCACTTCCTCCACTACCCACAATCCATTTGGGCCCTTCTGACTTCTGTGTGAGTAGATTTGTGTATGTTCTAGGACCCTTTGGGTCTCTCCAACAAACTCCCCTGTGGTGCTGGGAGTTTCTCCTGCTGCCACAACACCCAGAGGTTTTTCACTAAGAGGTTTTGAGGCTTTACTTCTCTGCACTGGAACCCTGGGCTGTTTGGTTTCTCTCAGTCCCCAGCTGCTCCTCCCAGTTTATCTGCATGTGAATGTGGGACTGCCCAGTCCACAAGCCACCACCTTCCTGTGAGTTCTCTCCACCCAGCTGCCCATCCGTGCACCTCCTACTGGTCCTATGTGTCTTCTTTAACTCCTTGATTGTCTGACTTCCATACAGTTTGATTTTCTGTCAGTTCTGGTTGTTTTTAAATTTGTTGTCCTTCTTTTGGTTGTGTGAGGAGGCACAGTGTGTCTACCTATGCTTCCACCTTGCCCTAAAGTCTGGCAGAAATACTTACATGGAACAAAATAGGACACTTCATAATACTCAAGGGAAGAATCCATCAATGAGAATAAATATTGTAAACATATATGCAAACAAAAATATTAGGAAAATCTTGGAGCACTTCAAGAAAGATATAGACAGCAAAACATTTATAGTTGAAGACTTTAACACACCACTGTCCACAATGGATGCATCTTCCAAAGAAAATATCAGCAAGGATATTGGAAAGTGAATGACACGGTAAATCAAGTAGACTTAATGGATATATAAAGAACCGTTCATCCCAAAGAAGCAAAATGTACATTCTTTTCAAATGCACATGGAACATTTTCAAAGATAAACCACGTGAGAGGTCACAAAACAAGCTTCAACAAATTCAAGAAAATTGAAATCATATCAAGCATTTTTTCCAACCACAAAAGTTTGAAACTAAAAACCAACCTCAAGGGAAAAACAAAAAATACTCAAATTCATGGAGATCGAATAACATGCTGTTAAACAATGAATGGTTTAAAAATGAGATCAAGAAAGAAATAAAATGTTTCTGGAAATAAATGAAAATGAACACACAACAATACAAAACATATGGAACACAATGAAGGCAGTCTGGAGAGGGTAGTTCATAGCGATACAGACCCACCTAAAAAAGACAGAAACATTTCAAATAAACAACCCAACTTTATACCTGCAAGAACTGAAGGAACAACAACAAACAAAACCCAGAGTGAGTAAAAGGAAATAAATAATCAAGATCAGTGTGGAATTAAATGACATAGAGAATAAAAGAACAATTCGAAGGATTAATAAGTCCAGGAGCTGGTTCTTTGTAAAGATAAACAAAAATTACAGATCTTCAAATAGACTCATCAGGGA